TGCTGTAAAGGAACCTTAGCAAGATCTAACTATTTGACTGTTGTCTTGTAATAGAGAAGCTTAATTTAATTAAAAATGTCAATACATTTTCAAAAATTTATAAGCAATGGAACTGTTGGCGAAAATAAAAGTATCAAAACTCTTCGGTTTTCAGTTACAGCAAAGTTTAAAATTTCCTCAGAGACCTCAGTTAACCATAATTCTGCAACAATTAAAATTTTTGGACTTGGGAAAAACAAAAAGTAAGCTGCCTAAGTTTTTAAAAAAGGACAATTAGAAATAAAAAGATTTGAACAAATTTTTATAGAATGTGCAAAAATTTCACCGAGATAAAAAATTTCTAAAATGTCAATTTTCTCACAAGAAAATTTCAATTAACAAGTTTGACTGAATTTACCCAAAACTTCACTTTCGAAACCATTTCAGGAGAGCCCAATAAAACTGAAAATTGCGCAGACACATGTTTCTGTCTTTTGTTCGCTTTTAAAAAATGAAATAAAACTGAAATCTATCAATTCAGACTACTATCCATCACCACTGGAAGTAATGCACATAAAAAAAGCTTTGATTATTGTTTAAAACTTACAAAGAAGAAACCTCTATCATTTACAACGTTAATAACCAAATTTTCCCCAAAGAATCGCCATTCATTGCTCCTTATGAATTAAAAATTTGACACTTCGTTTGGCAGCAAAAAAACTACATGCTGCTCTTGCGAGAAACAGTAAATCGTTTGTGCATTAATTTTAAGTATCTATCAGTTACAAATTTGTTTAAAGAGGCAAAAAAAAAAACAAAAATACTGACCTCGGGATACTTTTGAACGACGAAATTTTCCACATCTTCAAAATTCCCTCTTAATATGTCGGCAGTGAATAATCCTAAAACTTTACAAGGTCAATTCTGCTCTATCATTTCAGGATTCCCATCACCGTCAATATTACTATTCATCAGTTCAACCGGCCAACAGCAAGGATATACAACAGCAACAGAACAAAGAATAAACTTCTAAGAAAACTACTGTTTGCCGGCTATTTAAGTTAAAGCAACTTACGTTCGTGCTGTAATCGTCGAGATAACAAACGCATAAACCCGTTAACTGCGGAGTAAAAATTTGACATAAATGGATCGTTGACTTGTTCGGCTATAAAAGAGCCACATTTCTGCCGTTCTCTACTGACATAAGAGGGAAATTGAATCGCCGCTGCTAGCGGTAGGATTGCAAATAATAACATATTTCTCAGGACATCGTTAAAGATTACTGAAAAGCACAAAAATTACATCAGTAGTAAAACCATCAATAATTGTAGTAATACGGTGGCACAACAGAACGACTTATAGCGCTTTCAAGTAACTTAAAAAAGTATCATTGCTTAAAAAAGCAAGTAGAAAAAAAAAAAGGGCAGAATTATGAATTGAAAAAAAAAAAAACAAAGACAAAAATTTCATTTCCGGTGGCAAAAAAGAAACCACAAAAATATCTGTCAGTTGACGACTTCATTTTCTGTCTGAATCAATGACCAACAACAAGCGTTTTCCTTAACAGACAAACAAAAGACCAACGGAACTGTTCATTGAGCAACAAACATTTTACCGTCGTCCAACTGATTGCCCGCTCTCCCCCTCAAATGACAGCTACTGTGATAAGCGTC